GATGGAGGACTAGGAGGACGCCTCGCTGACTGGAGGTCCAACTCTCAGGTCTGCGCGGATTGATTTCCCGGCGGTGATGACTCTGGCGGCGGAGCGTGTAGGCTTACCGCTCCCCCCACCGCTGCCACCGAGGCCTGTAAACCGCCTGAGATCGGGGATTTACGGCCTGGTGCGTCTGGCGCAGTCGACCTTCGTTTCGCCCCAGCTGCCAGAGGTATGGCGGTGTGTGGATAGCCGCCATGGCGGGTATCGTTAAGGTGGTGGATCGCTCGGACACGACATGTCCAGGTGTGCCCCCCCCCTCGATGAGAGCCTGGCGGCCCATCTGCTTCCGCGGCTGGTTGGGCGGAGGGTAAACGTCCTCTGCCCCCGCTGCCCCGGGACCGAGACACCCTGGAATATCTGGATAAGATGTTCAAGCTCGGTACGCAGATGGCGGCTGCGGCCAATAATCTTGGCGTGTTGGCGTCTTCCTGATCAGCCCTCAGGCAGACGCCCCCGCCCTCCCGTCTCAGGACGAGAGCGATTATTCGGACCGCGCTGTTAGTCAGATGAATAATCTGATTTATGGCGTGGCCACCGCAGCAGGGCGGATGATTTCCCTGGCCACAGTGGCGTCTCGTCACGTGTGGCCAGGGCTCACGGCCCTATCTAAGAAGGACCGAGAAGATCTCCTCCGAGCCCCCGTGTCCACGGAGGGGCTCTTTGGGTCGATCTCCTCGGTCACCCAGCGCTTCAGCCACCTAGAGGAGGAGAGAGTCCAGCTTAGCCGCATGCTACCGCTGGCTCCCCCTCAGGCCCCGCTACGTGCCCCCCCTTGCGTTTCCATGCAGGGGAGGGAGCGTAGTACGACAGTGAAGCGGAGGGAGAGGCGCCGGCACGGGGGTCCCGTAGCTGCGGCGCCCTCCACCTCTACGGCCCATCCCGTAGCACCGGCAGTCACGGGGAAGGGCTGCCCGACCGAGGCAGGCTCCGCAACAGCAAAGCGCGCCCGGGTGGGGAGCTCCATCTTCGCGGAGTTGACTAGCGGGGGGAGGTAGCGCCTCGGTGGGGGGAGATTCTCACTACCGGGGACGCAAGGGCGAATCCCGCCTCCTTCCTATTTAATACCCAGATCCCTGTCAAAACTTTTTTAAATAAAGATGGTGTTGATCTGTATCCAAGTCTGAGTGTCCTTTGTTTCCACAATACACTTGCACATGTTGATGACTGTACAAATTCCCCACTCGCCGCCCCAGCTATAGCTCCCGTTAGGGAGGAGGCTAGTGGGAGTGTGCAGATGAGAGTGATAAACCGCAGGCAGCACTGTTATAGTGCGGTGCGGGTACAGGGACATTATGGCCAACGTTTTTCTGTTAGAAAACACTCTATGCCTGAAGCTAAGACTCCAAATAATGCTGTTTACTATAGTGATAGAGGCTGCATTATAGCAACGCCCGCACTTGTTAAGGGGCGCGTGGCGGTGCGTTCAGGGGCCTTAGTAAAACTCACTACGCCTGTAAAAGCTCCGGTTAATGCTGTTGTCCATAGTGATGAAAATAGCATTATGATGGAGCGTGCGCTCACACGTGAGCGTGCGGAGGTGTGTTCAGGGTCCTCAATAGATAATCGGCCCTTTCTGTTTCGACCCCCCACGGGCAAATCTTCCCTTTACGGGGAGTTTTGTGGTGGAGCGGGTCATCAGAGAGTATCACAGCTTTATAGCTGCGGCCCCACAGCTGAGGGCTTGCCCATTAACACAATGTTATGGGGAATGGAAACTCAGCTGTGTACTGACAAGGTGGACGGACAGGACGCTGAAACGGGGCTATTCACTCCAGTTTTGCAGCGTCCCACCTCCTTTTATGGGCATGCGAGAGGTAAATCTGTCTTTCCAGGAGGAGATGGGTTTCCTCTCAGCAGAGATTCAGGCTCTGGTGCAGAAACAGGCTGTGTCTGTTGTGCATCCTCAGCACTGAGAAAAGGGGTATTTATTCCATGTATTTCCTGGTTCTCAAGAAAACAGGGGAATTCAGACCTATTCTAGATCTCCGGGGCCTGAATCGTCACATTTCCTGCAGGAAATTTCGCATGTTAACTGTGAAACAGTTACTAGGGCTTGTGCAGCCAGGCGATTGGTTCACCACCATCGACCTGAAAGACGCGTAGTTTCATGTGGAAATTGCTCCAGAGCACAGAAAGTATCTGCGTTTTGCCTTTCAGGGAATAGCCTACGAATACAACAGGCTGCCGTTCGGTTATTCCCTATCCCCACGCACATTCAGCAAATGTGTAGCCACAGCGCTTCAACCGCTGCGCGCACACGGCATGAGAGTTTTCTTTTACATAGACGACCTCATAGTCATGGCTAGGGATGTCCCGATCACCTTTTTTTGCTCCCGATCCGATTCCGATCATTTGATTTTGACAATCTGCCGAAACCGATTTTTCCCGATCCGATCTTTATGCAATGCATTAAGAGAAAAAAAAGGAGAAAAGCATTCAAGTTGTCCCTTAAACCCCACGTTCTCCACCACAGATAACGGCTGGTCATCCAACGCAATGAATTCAGCTATCTTGGCTGTTATCTTTTTGGCCTTTTCACTGTTCTGATCCGGTTACATGTTGTGGCAGATATTTAAGTAAGCTTTCTTAACGCCAATGTTATAATAGTCAGATTGCTCTGAAGATGGGAGGGGATATTCTATTAATTTTTACGTTCACACAGTCAGTTGATTTTTGCCGGCCGTCTTTCCTGCAACGGCAGTTTTTCTGTATTTCCTCTATCCTGTAATATGACTTGATAGCTTTAAACTCCGCACACGGAACTCTGATTGGTCAGCAGGCGGTGCTTTCACTGAGTTGATCTCTTAGCCTGCAACCTAACCTCCTCCCGAGGAGGTTAGCCGCTCAGCATAAGTTACCATGGAGATCTAGCCCGCTAAAAAGAGAACCAGCGTCGTAGGACCGGAAAGCCCGAGTTTTCCCTGAAGTCAGCCGGCTAAGCGAAAATCCGGCTTCGTAGTACAGGCCTCAGGTCTATGAAAACAAGCCCAAAAGAAGCAACACATACATGATGTTGTGTAATTTTAAACCAAAACTAAGGCCTCAGGATGACTTTAAGACGTGAACATGGTCATTTTTGTTTTGTAACATTAAATGAAATAATAAAAATATTTTATAAAAAATAAATTTAAATATTTTTAAAAATCCCGATCCCCGATTTTTTTCTCCCGATTCCGATCTTTTGAAAATCACGTGATCGGCTCCGATCCCCGATCACGTGATTGGATCGGGACATCTCTAGTCATGGCTGGGTCCCGGGAACAGGCAATGTTTTGCAGAGCACAGTTGATCACACACCTAACCAAATTAGGTTTTGCGATCAATTGAAAAAAAAAAAAAAAAAGAGCACCCCCATACCTCGCCAAAAGGCGTTGTATTTGGGTGTGGTGCTCGATGCAGACGCGCTGCGTGCCACCCTGTCAGAGAGCAGACGTGCGTCCCTTCTCAGGGCGGTGCACAGGCTGCGACAGGGGGCGACAGTGACAGCTTTAACTGTCATGCAGACTCTGGGTCTCATGGCAGCTGTTTTTTGAGCACACTTTCTGCGAAGTAGGCGCAGCAGGGTGTGCTCTGTCAGCCGCAGCCCAGATTTCTCCTCGGTCACAACCGGGTTAAAGGAGAATGTGGGGCAGCAGCTGCTGACCAGAACAGCCGGTCAGGGGCAGTAGGGTGGAAGGGTGTTGGACGACAGTGCGCGTATACATCAGGGCTCCACCCACTGTACCCATAGAGTCCAGTAGAGGGTGGAGCCTGTGAGAGATATAACGGGGGGTTACGTATTGTAACCCTAGTTATATAAGCACAGGCGGAGCCCTCTACTCAGGGCACTGTCTGTCCTATTCCGCTCGCTGAAGAGAGGTATAGGATGATAGTCAGGAGGCGAGGCCTCCTTTTATACGGTGTGATGCACGCGCATTCAGGTAGGCCCGCCCTGGGCCGGCTACGTCTATAGAAGTCTCAGTGGGAGAATGCACGCAGGATAAGGTAGTACCCATACAGTCCAGTAGAGGGCTCCGCCTGTGCTTATATAACTAGGGTTACAATACGTAACCCCCCGTTTTCTTGTCCCAGTTTCAGCCAAACTGTATACAGTTAAATCGAACGGACTTCTTTGTGCAGATGTGAGCGTCCTTAACAACGGTCAATAAGTCCTTGACAGCGGTCTTCACTACTGGATTAACAACGTGTCACGTGTTCTGAATTGACCAATCAGAATCAAGTATTCAACAAAGCCATGTAATAATACATTTTGTTGATTCAATCGCAAATCGCAATATTGTCCACAATAATCGCAATATGACTTTTTCACCAAATCGTGAAGCCCTATTGGGAACATCAACATTTCTATGTCACAGATGCCCCTTTCACACCAACGCGTTTTCAGCGGCGGCTCGGAGCTAGAGCCTGAAAAGTACCGTTTTTTCCTGTTCACACCGGGGGCTGTATTGTGTACGTTTCTTTTGACGTAACGGAGAGACCGGAGAGACCGGAGCGGCTTCGCGCTCGGGCTGCGGCCTGCTTTACACCTGCTGTAGCGGAGGCCTGTATCCACCTGCTCCACCTGTCGTGCTCTACGGTGCCGAGGAGGTTTTACCACGGGGATATCGCGGAGAGACCGGAGCGCCTCTACGTTTCGGGCTGGACCTGCTTCGCCTATCCTGTACTGCTGTGCTGAGGAGGATCTTCACCGGGGACATCGCGGAGAGACCGGAGCGCCTCTACGCCTCGAGCTGGGCCTGCTTCGCCTATCCTGCTGTGCTGAGGAGGTTTTGCACCGGGGTCATCGCGGAGAGACCGGAGCGCCTCCACGTTTCGGGCCTGCTTGCGCACCTATCCGGATGCTGTGCTGGTCTGGGAAAATGGCCCCTATTGTGATTCTGCTATGCCTGTTAGCTATTTTGGACAATGAGAAGTTCTCTCGTCATCCGGAGAAGTCGACTGGGTTCAGGTCTGTTCTACCGCCCGCAGTGGACATCCCCTGTAAAGGTTCGGATGTCTTACACAAACATTTACCGGTCACCTTGTCGCAGACAATCTGCTCGACAAAATATGTTTGTCTTTTTTGTTTGCCTGCGATGATGGTTCTTCAGGACTGCTTCTTAAGCTCTAATCAAACTCTCGCAGACTTTTCCGGTGATTCTAAAGTAGATGACAATGTGTGTGTGTCGATTAAGAGGAAAAGATGCCTGTTTTTGTTGTTGTTATTACTGTCAGGAAATGTTCAACCTAACCCTGGTCCGCCCAGTAGTAGTAGTCAGATCGCTACTCCTGCTGATTTTAAAGCTAGATCTGGGTTGGGTTTCATCCACTTGAATGTGCGCAGTCTGTTAGGTAAACTAGATTTTGTCCGCATTTGGGCGAGCTCGACTGACGCTGACGTCATTGTGTTATCAGAAACATGGCTAAATAAAACTATTTTGGCCTCTGACATATCCTTAAATGGTTATAATGTGTATCGTACCGACCGGCCTAATAAAGGTGGTGGAGTTGCCATTTATGTTAAGAATAAGTACAGTGTAACCACATTGATCTCCAAATCTGTCAGTAAGCAATTCGAATTTTTAGCCTTAAATATAGAAGTGGCAAAGGGGCAACAAGTCATGGTGGTGGGCTGTTACAGACCCCCCTCAGCTGTCAAGGACTCCTTGTCTTCACTAGCAACACTTTTATCACAACTAGACTATAAGGAAATAGTGCTACTTGGAGATTTTAACTGGGACTGGTTAACTGCAGTATCAGAGGATTTTAAAAACCTTTGTATCTCTCTGAATGTTACTCAGATTGTTGACAGTCCTACTCGCCCTAATGTTAAGTCCCCTAATAAATCATCCCTAATTGATCTCATTCTAACTAATGTTCCCTATAAATACCCATCTGTGGGAGTATTTGCAAATGATGTGAGTGACCACTGTGTTGTAGCCACAATTAGGGACACTAAGGTCCAAAAGGTTAAACCCCGTATTATTATTAAGAGACACATAAAACATTTTGTGGAGCAGGGTTTTGTTCATGATCTGTTTGGGTTTGATTGGGGAAAAATCGATCTGTGTGCTGATGTTGAAACTGCATGGTCTTATTTTTATCTTGGTTTTATGGAAATTATAGATAAACATGCACCCCTACGTACTTTTAGAGTAAAGGGACGAGACAATCCTTGGTTTTCTGCTGAACTGTCCAGTCTCCTACATGAGAGAAACAAGGCCTGGGCAAAGGCTAGGAAATCAGGCTCAGAGGTAGAATGGCTACGCTTTAGGCAGCTAAGAAATAGCTTCACTTCACATGTCAAAAGTGCTAAGTCGAAGTACTATTTGTCAGTTACTACAGAAAACCTAAATAATCCTAGGAAATTTTGGAAAGCCATAAAATCGCTATCCACCGGTGAGATCCGAAATGAGCTACCTCCGTGCATTACCACAGCATCTGGCTCTATATCGGACAGGGCTACTATGTTAAATTGTTTTAATGAGCATTTTGTGTCCTGCGGTTCTATGTTTGATTCTGTGACTAATTCTGCTACTGTGAACACCACAGTCTGTGACTCTGAACAATGTGGTCTGGAAAACACTTTCAGTTTTACTCCTTTTACTGTAAATGTTGTTCATGAAGCTTTATCTAAGTTAGATCCTAAGAAACCGGCCGGCCCGGACAACGTAGAACCTTTCTTTTTAAAGATAGCTGCAGATTTTATTGCTCCACCTCTCACTACTCTTTTTAACCTCTCCCTCAGCACAAACACAATTCCTAAAGTATGGAAGTCAGCGTATTTCCTGCCTTTGCTAAAAGGAGGGGAGGCAACTGTTTTAAATAACTATAGGCCAATCTCGAAATTGTCAGTTCTGGCTAAGGTTCTTGAACGCCTAGTCAGTGAACAGGTAAAGGAGTTTCTATGTAACAATGACATTCTGTCTAAACATCAGTCAGGCTTCAGAAAGCAACATAGCACCATCACTGCCTCAATGAAAGTGGTGAATGACATTACAAGTATTTTGGATAAAAAGCAGAGTTGTGCAGCTCTATTTATTGACCTTTCCAAAGCGTTTGACACAGTCGATCATCACATCTTAAAGCAGAGGCTACTCAGTATTGGCTTATCCAGCCATGCAGTGGGGTGGTTTGTGAACTACCTCTCTGAAAGGTCCCAATGTGTTCACTTTGATGGGCTGTCTTCTGAGTGGTTGAACATTGCTAATGGTGTTCCTCAAGGTTCTGTTTTAGGTCCACTTTTATTCTCCATCTACATCAATAGTTTAGGTGAAAATGTGGATGAAGCTACTTTGCATTTTTATGCGGATGACACCGTGATGTACTGTGCATGTCCCTCCATTAAGGAGGCGGTTGTTAAATTACAGGCTGTTTTTAACATTATTCAGACTCAGCTCTCTGAACTAAAGCTTCTTTTAAATGTTGAGAAAACCAAAGTAATGCTCTTTTCTAAAGCTAAAAAGACTCCAGAGACTGCTTTGGATATTGTGACTATGCAAGGACAAGTACTCCAAGTGGTTAGCTATTATAAATACCTTGGTATCTGGCTTGATGATTGTCTTACTTTTAAACTTCAGGTCACTAATCTGCTTAAAAAGCTGAGGGTTAGATTAGGTTTCTTTTTCAGAAACAAGTCCTGTTTCTCTTTTGAAGCCAGGAAAAGGCTCTGTGACCTTTTTACCTGTGCTAGACTATGGTGATTTGTTGTATATGAATGCACCTGCCCATTGCCTGGAAAGGTTAGATGCCACCTATCACAGTGCTCTGAGATTTGTTACTAACTGTAAAGTACTTACTCATCACTCTACCCTGTATGCCAAGGCAGGTCTGCCTTCACTTACTGGTCGGAGGCTCAGTCATTGGTACATGTTCATCTACAAAGCCATGCTGGGTAAACTACCTTCTTATATCTGCTCTTTGATCTCACGGACAGTGGCAAGTAGCTATTGCCTGAGATCACAGGATGTGTTTTTATTACATGTGCCAAGTGCTAGGACTGTTTTAGGTGCTAAAGCTTTTATGTGCGCTGCTCCTCTGGCTTGGAACACCATGCAAAAAATATTGAAACTGAGCATTTTGATTCCCTTGCATCGTTTTAAAGCACGGCTGGATGAAATATTATTGGATACCTGTAAATGTAAATAGGTTGCTAATGTATACCCCTGTAATTATGTTGTGATGTCCTTTTGTTTTCTGTTTGTTTTTATATGTGTAACTCAATGTACCGCAGGTCTCCCTTGTAAAAGAGATCGTTGATCTCAATGGGATTTTTTTAACCTGGATAAATAAAGGCTACAAACAAACAAACAAATCGCAAATCGCAATATTGTCCACAATAATCGCAATATGACTTTTTCACCAAATCGTGAAGCCCTATTGGGAACATCAACATTTCTATGTCACAGATGCCCCTTTCACACCAACGCGTTTTCAGCGGCGGCTCGGAGCTAGAGCCTGAAAAGTACCGTTTTTTCCTGTTCACACCGCAGCGGCGCCGCCTCTTAGCTCCGGAATCCGGTTCACTTCCAGCTCCAAAAAATTGTCGGTCTAGAAGCAAGAGCTTCGGAGCTAAGAGGCGGCGTCGCTTACGTCTCTCTTACGTAGAGGCGTGCAGGAAACTAAACCCACCTCCCCTGAACATGGGTTGACTGAAGAGTCTCGTCATGCCTGCCTACAAGCGGTAGCGCTGAGCAAAGTGACTAGAAGGCAACCACACACTTATAAAAAAAAACACACTTTATAAAGTCAGGCAACACTAACCAGGCTTCGTGTGATTCTGTTTATTTGTACCTTACTTTGACCATCCGTTCGCTGTTATTGATCATTGTGGAGAGCAGGCAGACATTGTGTTTGTTATTATAGCAGCTATCGGATGGAATCAATACATGGGCTGCACAGGTTGTCATGTCCGACTATCACAAGTGGAATCATAATGAAAAATACGCCGGTAAAATGTGCCTGTAGAAAACGGCTTAGCAAGTAGTCAGTTTACCTTCGATTGCTATGCTAACATCACCCATGTTATACCAGAGAAACTTTCATAACAGCGTTGTGATGCCAAACAGCGTCAATTCAGACTGACACACATTCACGTAAGGGGAATTGGGGATATGTATCAGCTGCTTGTGTGACAGTCAGACAGTGAATACTTTAGAGCCGTGTGAGCTAACCCGGAGCTAACGGGAGAATAAACTCCCGTGGAAGAGCAGCCAGCACTGCAGCGGTCGCTAAATGCCGCTGAAACACATTAATAAACAATGAACCACGGCACTCTGGAGAAAAGTATAAGGTTGGAGAAGTCGTTATTTAATTTAATCTGGCTTCGTATGATTAAAAGCAACACGATCATCGACCCGACACAGTCCCCCGTTGTTGTTGTGAGCTCCGTTGGGGAGAAAATCAGCGATGTAAACGGTGACGTCATGACGCAGCAGCGGCAGCTCTGGGCGGTGTGAACAGAGCGGGAACTGAAAAGGGAAACCGGAGCTGAACCAGAAAAGCTCTAGCTAGGAGCTAGAAAGGGAAAAGCGCTGGTGTGAAATCCGCAAAAGTAAACTTTATGTAAAACTAATATTAGTTCAGAGGACCTTCTTTATTCAGACCATTTACTAAAGAAAACATACATTTACTTTAACAACTAACAGTGGAAGAATAATAGTTTCTTTAGGAAACAATCAACTGTTATGACTGCAGACTACATTTAGAGAACTACAAATGTGAACAAAACAACATTTACAAACGTATGGATGTTATATATATATGTACAAGAATAAGTTGAATAACAAATTAAACATGTGAGATCTGCAGCAGTAACAGAGAGTCAGTGAACTGACCTGAGAGTCTCCAGTCTGCAGTCTGGACTCTCCAGAAGATCTCTCAGCAGCTTCACTCCTGAACCCTTCACAGCGTTGTTACTCAGGTCCAGATCTCTCAGATTGATGTTGGACTTCAGAGCTGAGGCCAGAGCAGAACAGCTGATCTCTGACAAACTGCAGTTCATCAGACTGAATAAAGAAAACATGATGTAACTTTAGAAAACAATGTTCCTGTTTGAAATAACTCCAGGTTTAATAATCTGTTCAGAGTTAAACAGGGTTTTAATGTCAGAGATGATGGAGAAACAATCCACTGATAATCTGGATCTTTAACTTTGATCAGATGTTTAACAAATCCTTCATCTCCCTCACAGCTCATCAGTACCGACAGCATCTCCACTGACTCATGGAGCACAGAGTGAGTTTGTGGAAGCTCAAACACTCTCCCTCACACATTCACTTTCTCTTTGTTAATCTGCTGAATATGCAGTCATTAGCAAACATGGAAGAAATAACAATTCAAATGTATCTGTTCAAATTCAGAAAATCATAAACACAAACAGATCTGTATGAAGTGCAGTCAGTGAACTGACCTGAGAGCCTCCAGTCTGCAGTTTGGACTCTTTAGTCCAGAACTCAGCAGCTTCACTCCTGGATCCTTCAGAGGGTTGTTACTCAGGTCCAGATCTCTCAGATGGGAGGGGTCAGACTTCAGAGCTGAGGCCACGACTTCACAGTGAGTCTCTGAGAGTCCACAGTTAATAAGTCTATAATAACACATATATTACAACATGTGTTAAAACAAGAGGAAACATTATATTAACTTGAAGCATTTGATGACAACATATTTGACATGTGTTCTGATTGAGATTTGCTGTTAGTCCATTTTATATTATATATCATAATGTATGATAATAGAGTTGTCAGTGTGATCTGATCACTTGTCTGTGCTCCTGCTGTCAGTGACTGTTACCAAAAGAAACAGAAATTAAATAAATCACTTGACAATATTAGAGATGTACATATTTAAATGTTAATTAATATTTGGATGTGAATGATGGATGTGTTGGCTTCTCTGAGCATCTGAACATTTATTGTGCACACAAACACAATTAACAAACCAATAAAGTTTCAATATTTTCAACTTGATACCATCAGATGTTCTCACTATATCAGCATTAAGACATAACTCTGTTATTGGTGAGAAATTATATAAATCTTATTTCAAACTCCAACACATTGTGATAAAAACGTGTTTAATGATAAAGAAACTACTAGAAAGTAATTATAACATGTTTCTGTGATAACTGTAAGTCCTGCTGTGTGGTGTGATCACATGCTGAGAAACCTCTAAAGTCCTTCATGTGTTTGACATGTCGCCTCCATCACTCAATATGAAGAGAGAAACGGAACAATTTAACTATTATTATAAATAAATAGAAGAACAGTGTTGGTTTTATTTTGCTCTCAGTATTTAAACAGCAGAAATGTTATAGTGTTTTTTTGAATAATTAAACTCCTGATCCACATTAGTTTATAAAGTTAATCACATCTGGACTTACTTGGCCTTCCTGCAGTTCCTCACAGCTGGAATCAGTCTCCATCGTCCCTCCTTTGATGTGTTGAACTGATTCAGGTCCAACTCATCCAGAACCTCCTCTGACATCTGCAGCATGTAGGCCAGAGCAGAGCAGTGGATCACAGAGAGATGATCTGATCTTTTCTCTGACTTCAGGAACTCTGTGATCTCCTGATGTACTGAGTGGTCCTTCATCTCTGTCAGACAGTGGAAGATGTTGATGCTCCTGTCAGGAGAGATTTCATCACTGCTCATCTCCTTCAGGTTGTTGATGGCTCTCTGGATGATTTCTGGACGCTTGTCTGTGCGACCCAGCAGGCCTCCTAACAGTCTCTGGTTGGACTCCAGAGAGAGGCCGTGGAGAAAGCGGACAAACAGGTCCAGGTGGCCATTTTTACTTTGGAGGGATTTCTCCATGGCTCCCTTTAGGAAGACATCCAGTGATGGGTAATCCTGATCACTGTTATACCTGTTGCTATAGTCTCTCTGCAGGAAGTCCTTCAGTACCTCTGTGTCTCCGTAGGTGTAACAGTACAACATGTAGACTGCAGCCAGAAACTCCTGAATGCTCAGATGAACAAAGCAGTAGACTGTTTTCTGGAACATCACACTCTCTCTTTTAAAGATCTCTGTACAAACTCCTGAGTGCACCAAGGCCTCGGTGACATCAAGGCCACAGCGCTCGAGGTCTTCTTGGTAGAACATGATGTCTCCTTTCTCCAGATGTTCAAACGCCAGCCTCCCCAGCTTCAGAAGAACCTCCCTGTCAGCCTTTGTCAGCTTCTGTAGACTCGTCTCATGTCCCTCTTCATACTTCTGCTTCTTCCTCTTGGTCTGGACCAGCAGGAAGTGTGAGTACATGTCAGTGAGGGTCTTGGGCAGCTCTCCTCTCTGCTCAGTAGTCAACATGTGGTCCAGAACTGCAGCAGTGATCCAGCAGAAGACTGGGATCATACACATGATGTGGAGGCTCCTGGAGCTCTTGATGTGAGAGATGATTCTGCTGGACAGGTCTTCATCACTCGATCTCCTCCAGAAGTACTCCTCCTTCTGGGCGTCAGTGAAGCCTCGTACTTCTGTTACCCTGTCCACACACTCAGGAGGGATCTGATTGGCCGCTGCAGGTCTGGAAGTTATCCAGACGAGAGCCGAGGGAAGCAGTTTCCCCCTGATGAGGTTTGTCAGCAGCACGTTGACTGAGGACTTCTGTGAGACATCAGACACAACCTCATTGTTTCTGAAATCCAGAGAAAGTCTGCTTTCATCCAGGCCGTCAAAGATGAGCAGCACTTTACAGACAGCCAGCTGCTCTGCTGTGACCTTCTGTAAGGTTGGATGGAAAACATGGAGCAGCCTGAGAAGACTGTACTGCTCACCTTTGGTCAGGTTCAGCTCCCTGAAGGAGAGCGGGATCACCAGACTGACATCTTGGTTTTCTAAACCCTCGGCCCAGTCCAGAGTGAACTTCTGCACTGAGAAGGTTTTTCCAACTCCAGCGACTCCGTTGGTCAGGACCGCTCTGATGTGAGTCTGTTGGTCAGGTAAGGCTTTAAAGATGTCCTGGCACTTGATTGGAGTTTCATGGAGGGGCTTCTTCTTGGAAGCTGTCTCCAGCTGCCTCACCTCATGTTGGGTATTAACCTCTTCACTCAGTCCTTGTGTGATGTAGAGCTCAGTGAAGATGCTGTTGAGGAGGGTTTCACTTTGATCAGTTCCTTCAGTCACACGTTCACATCTCCTCCTCAGACTGAACCTATGTTCATCTAAAACCTCCTGCAGACCACTATCTGCTGAAAGAGAAGGAAAACAGGAGAGAATCAGAAAATGCTTTTGAGAATCTAACAATAAAACTAATAAAAACAGACTGAGTTGAAATGTTTTGCAAACAGCTTACTGTCTATGCTCGACACAGTATAGCTCATTTCTTGTAAATTAAAGTGGACCTATTATGCTATATTTGAAACATATATTGTAGGGCCATACCTATACAAAACATGTCTGTGAAGTTTTTTGCTTAAAATACCAAACAGATCACCCATTGTAGCCATGCCTCATACTGCTCATACCCCTCTTTTGCAGCCCTGTTAGAGAAACGCAGATTTTGGGTCCTTAGCTTGAAAAAAAAAGAAAGAAGAGGAGGCGGAGCTAATGCCTGATCAGAATTCTACCGGAGATAAAGTGAAATTCTGCTGTGATAAAACGCCATCCTGTTCTAAACCACATCAAAGATTATTTCTGATACAGTATGGAGCTGTCTGATGCGCCGGTGAAGATGGCCGCATCGTCTTTGTGCTCCCCTCCAGCTTTGCCCATTTTCGTATTTTGTACATATTTTTTTTACTTTTGCCGTTTTACTTTTAACATGGTTCGCAACATGCTAGCCGACCGCACCTACTCTGCCATACAATACAGCAGAGAGGAACTTCTCCAATTGCGAAACTTCGTGGACAATAATAACCCTCCGACAAACAATGGAGATTCACCATGGCTACCTGTTGCTGTTCTACCTGAGAGACGCAAGAAGAGGACAAAGCGCGGATGCCGGGCCGGGTTGCTGGTCAGACTGAGGAAACGAGAGAATTGGCCCCCTCTTCCGAGTATTCTTCTGGCTAATGTTCAATCCATTGAAAATAAGCTAGATGAACTCAGAAGCCGGATTGCTTTTCAACGGGACATTAAGAACTGTAACGTGTTAATTCTCACTGAGACTTGGCTCAACCCCGCTATCCCGGACTCCGCCATTGTCCCTGATGGATTCTCTATTTTCCGTCAGGACCGGACTGCAAACTCGGGGAAAAGTAAGGGAGGCGGTGTGTGTGTAATGACTAACAACAACTGGTGCTCAGATGTGAAGATTATTTCATCTGACTGTTCCGCACATCTCGAGCACCTCATGATCTCATGTCGGGCCTTCCATCTGCCGAGGGAATTCACATCTGTTGTGATAACAGCAGTGTATATCCCGCCGCAGCCACTCGCCGACAACAACACGGCACTCGATCAGCTGTTTGGGATTATTGATAAAACCGAGACTTCACGGCCAGATGCGGCGTTCGTTGTGGCCGGAGATTTCAACACCGCCAACATGAAGAAGGTTTTGCCAAAATATTACCAACACATCAGCTTCCCGACGCGCGGGGATAACATACTGGACCATGTTTATTCCCCTTTCCGGAATGGATATAAGGCTCTCCCTCGCCCTCCCTTCGGCAAATCAGACCATATCTCACTACTGTTGTTGCCTGCGTACAAGCAGAAACTTAAAAGGGACAGACCGATTACAAGAACAGTACAACGATGGAGCGAGGAGTCAGATGAGGCACTGCAGGATTGCTTTGCATCCACGGATTGGAGTGTGTTTGAGGACAATAACATCAACACACACACGGACACTGTCATCTGCTACATTGGGAAATGCATCGATGACGTGGTACCGAAGGTTTCTGTACGGACATTCCCAAATCAAAAGCCATGGATAAACTCCGATGTGCGCTGCAAGCTGAGAGTGTGCACTATCGCGCACACAGCGGGAGATTTGGAGGAGTACAGGAAGTCTAGGTATGATCTCCGGAGAGCAATTAAAATGCAAAGAGACAGTACAAAGAAAAGGTGGAATCTGACTTCAAAGGCTGTAACACTAGGAATATGTGGGCGGGACTAAGGACAATGACTGACTACAAAGGAGCAGCGGGGAGTGTCTGCGTGCGCATCTCTCCCAGATGAGCTGAACAGTTTTTTTGCACGCTTTGAGAGCAGCCGGGCTGTGGAGGTACAGAGGGACCAGGAGCTACACTGCCCTTTTGTTTTAAATAGGGCAGATGTGTGTAAATCCTTTAAAAGGGTTAACCCACACAAGGCTCCTGGACCTGATGGCATCCCTGGCCGTGTTCTCAGGGTGTGTGCAGTTCAGCTGGCAGAGGTGTTCACAGACATCTTCAACAGGTCCCTGCTGCAGTCTGTAGTCCCCACATGTCTTAAACACTCCACCATCGTTCCTGTCCCCAAAAAGACAATCATCACCTGCCCCAACGACTACCGCCCAGTAGCACTCACCTCCATCATAATGAAGTGCTTTGAGCGGTTAGTCAAATCATTCATCACCTCCTCCCTCCCTGACTCTCTGGACCCCCTGCAGTTTGCCTACAGAGCAAACAGGTCCACTGACGACGCCATAGCCCTCACCCTCCACACTGCCCTCTCACACCTGGACCTGAAGAACAGGAACACATATGTGAGAATGCTGTTCATTGACTACAGTTCAGCATTCAATACCATTGTGCCCTCCAAGCTGGCCATCAAGCTCAGAGACCTCGGGCTCAACAGCGCCCTCTGTGACTGGATCCTGAACTTCCTGACGGGCAGACCCCAGGCAGTGCGGGTGGGAAACATCACATCCTCCACCCTGATTCTAAACACCGGTGCCCCTCAAGGCTGCGTGCTCAGCCCTCTCCTCTACTCCCTGTTCACCCACGACTGCGTGGCCACACACAGCTCCAACACCATCGTGAAGTTTGCTGATGACACGACCGTCATCGGCCAGATCACAAACGATGACGAGACGGCGTACAGAGAGGAGGTCGAAAACCTGACATCTTGGTGCCAGGATAACAACCTCCATCTCAACATCAGCAAAACAAAGGAGCTGATTGTGGACTACAGGAAGCAGCAGGGAGAGGGACACGCCCCCATCGCCATCAATGGGACTACGGTGGAGAGAGTCAAAAGCTTCAGGTTCCTTGGGGTCCACATCACTGAGGACCTGACATGGTCTCTTCACACCACCACCATCACCAAGAAAGCTCGACAGCGGCTCTTCTTCCTCCGCAGGTTGAGGAGGTTCAAAATGGATTCCAGGATACTCTGCAACTTCTACAGGTGCACGATAGAGAGTATCCTCACTGGCAGCATGACGGCCTGGTACGGCAGCTGCACCGACCTCGATCGTAAGGCTTTACAGAGGGTGGTGAAAACTGCACAGCACATCACCAGGACGGAGCTGCCATCCATGGAGGACCTTTACTCCCAGCGGCTCAGGAAGAAATCACTACGGATTATCAAAGACCCCCACCACCCCAGCCACAAACTGTTCTTTCTGTTGCCGTCTGGCAGACGTTACCGCAGCATCCTGGCAAGGACAAGAAGATTCGGAGACAGTTTCTTCCCGCGGGCAGTGAGACTGTTAAAAAATTGAACTGTTGAAACAACATCAAACATTCATCTGCTACTCAGTAGTATGTATCTAATACCTAATATATATATATATCATTCCAATAACTTGTATATAGACTCTATTGCACTATTCCACATCATAACTTTATTTCATTTTATAACTATTATTATTTTTGTATTGCTCATGCTCTTATTGTTATTATGTTATTATGTTGCATTGTTGGAGAAGCCTGTGACATAAGATTTTCAACTACATAATTACTCTGTAACTATGTCAGATTGACAATAAAGAACCTTGAACCTTGAGCTCAAATGCTTTTTCTCTTGCAGGTTTATCACAAGGTGAGTTCCTTTTTTTATTTCCTGCTCCAGTACAGGTTAGCTCTGAGTGTTAGCGAGGCTTGCTAATGTAAACAAAGACGAGATTACGTCCAAAACACGTCAGGCATTGTTTCTGATAGCAACTTTCTGTGGGTCCGCCGCCGATTTGACGTCAGATCGGCAGCAAATCTGTATCCGCTCGTTTTACCCCTGTTTTTAAAAGATTTGGGTACGGAGGAAAAGAGAGGGTTTTATTTTCTGACGCTGCGTGAGTTCCCCGACGCACCGGGGACACATATTTATGTATACTGTAAAAGACATCACAAAGTGCATTTTGCATGATAGGTCCCCTTTAATGTATATTTTCTTGTGTCTGACGCATTGTGAGAATGAACG